AATTTACTGTAGAGGGTTTCTCTAGAGTAAAGATAATATTAGACTGAATTTGTTTTATGATTTTTATTGTTAGGATGCGATTTGCTTTTCTTAGTTGTACACTTCTCAACGGCTACGCACAGACTGTACTAGTCTGGTGACCACTACTTGTTAGCGTGGTTCCCTAGCCTTCTAATAACTTAGATGGCGCGACCATCGGTCGTACCGCTACATGTGGGACGCCACAAGGGTAGGATATAGAATGTCGCGTCACTAAACAGCTATATCTCCGAAAATAATTTGAATTTTGAAAAATCCTCTTAAGGAAATATTTTTAAAAGGTTACGCTTTAAAAATATGAAAAAAAAATCGATTTTTTCAAATTTCTAGACCAGAATACCCCCTTAATACGGACTATAATATTGGGATTTCTGGCAGGGGCGTGGCGTAGCAATTCGACCTATCTACTCTAATTTTGAATTTAACCACCAGAAAGCATATTCAAGTGCTAGAGATCCTAAGGTCAAAACTATAGTCAAAAAATAGTTTTTGTCTATTTACAAAGCACAAATACCATTCATATCATGTATAAAAGGTTCAAGAACTGACCGCAAATGACTGTTATCAATGTTTAGAATTTTGTAATTGGGCTCTCACTCAAAGAGACAACTTTTTCAACAATGTTATGTTCACGGACGAAGCAACATTTACGAAAAATGGATCAATGAATTCAAGAAATGCCCATTATTGGTCAACGGAAAATCCTCATTGGTTTAGACAAATGGATAATCAACATCGATGGAGTGTAAATGTTTGGATGAGCATACTCGGCGATAAACTTATTGGTCCATACTTTATCAAAGGGTCACTAACCGGACCAAAATATGCAAATTTTTTATCAAACACTCTATGAACATTTTTAAACTATTTACCATTGCATACACGACAAATAATGTGGATACAACAGGATGGTTGCCCTGCTCATTATTCAAGAATAGCAAGGGATACATTAAATCAAATGTTCCCAAATCGTTGGATAGGACGGGGTGGGCCCATTCATTTTCCGGTTAGATCACCAGATCTAACGCCCCTCGACTTTTTCTTATAGGGCTACTTAAAAAATAAAGTTTACACGGAGCCTCCGACTACAATGGCCGATATGAGGGATCGTATCGTCAATGAATGCAAGAAAATAACATCAGATACATTAAGAAACGTTAATGAGTCATTAATTTCTCGTTTCAGAAAGTGTTCTGATGCAAATGGTCGCCACATTGAACCTTTTTTGTAAATAGACATAAAAATTAAAATATCTCCTAAAGTAATAATTTTTTTATATAAATAGGTTAATACTTTTCTGTAAATAATATGAAAGAGCATCAGATGATGCAATAAAAAATATATGATTCCGTTTAAAAAAACTTTAATCACCTTCATATGTCCTTTACACGTCCACCTACAAAAAAAAAGTACCATCAGTATGAGCCCCTTTTAAAACCATTCAACTCCATGTGAAACATTGTCTGCTACGCGTATAATAATAACGTAAATCTAGATGGTAAAATGTGGTGACCCACCCTGTATATATATATATATATTATTTACTTGTACGACATCTTCGCAGCGATCCTATTCGTACGATAATTATCGTACGCGTACGATAATTTGAGGCCCTGTACGATCTAAAATTCGTGGTGTACGATCCATTTGGAATTTCGAAAACTTGATGACCTTTTTTTCTTTTTTTTTAGTCAACAAATTTTGGAAAGGTGCAGCACCACCCCTACCACCACCACCACCACCACCACGATCTCCCAGCGGACGGCCGTTTTTATCGTTTTTATGAAAAGGTCATCAACTTTGAAAAAGTTGGAACTTGGACACTTTTTCCACATTTTGAAAATCTCGTCCGAGAAATTGTCGGATTTCAAATTTTCCCGGGGCGTACGATAATTTTTTGCCGCGTACGATAATTTTACGCCCCTGTGTCGATCAGACGAACTAAAGTCTCTGGGATCACTGCATCTTCGTATAAACTTTAGTTTCACAGTATTCCGCTGTGAAATAAGCGTGAATGGGTATATTTGATTGATTTAAAGAAAAATTCAACCACATGGATATATAAGATATTTGTTATTAATTACTACAAATATAAGTAAGTGGATAAATATTTACGTATTATTATTATTGTTATTTCGTTAAGATTTATCACAATTAAATTATTTAATTCACTTCATTTCGTAAGATAACCTGTAATAACAACAAAATTTATGATATGGTTGACTTACTTCTATTAATCGATTATGATACAGAAAAGTGTATAAAATAAATTATTGAAAAAATAAACATAAAATAAAAGAATGTTAGTCTTATTTATAAATCATCATTAATAAATTTATTTATTAAATATGTAAATAATTAGTATCCTTTCTACCATCACACATAATTGTTATTATCACATTATTACTATCTTAATCTATTTACTACTTGTTTTTTTTTTCTTGTAATCATTATTTATCTATTGTATATTTTTGATAAAAATATAAATTAATATTTTCTTGTTTTATTCCAGAAAAGAGAACTTTTAAGACATTAAAAATTACGTACCTTAAAGTGTGATTCTTCGGATACTACAGCATGAAGATTTTGCAATCGCTGAAAGAAATTTCATTGATTGTAATTTTCAAAAAGACTAAATTTCAATTTAAATGCATAATGCATTACGTATTATTTACGTGAAATAAAATTTTGTGTATGCATAAAAAAATTAATATGCTTTATTTTATTATTTTGTTTATATTTATCATAATTACTTTTTACCTATTTATTTTTTAGAAATTTTTAATTATAATTTTTATAAAATGGCGCAGCTAATCCAAGATACAAATATTACCAGCTCTGTAGCATTTTCTAAATCCTTACAAAATGATGGTATGTAAATAGATAATAATTTTCTCTTATATTTGAATTATTATAGCATATTTTCAAATTATAACTTTAGCAATTTCAGATAACGCATTGGATGATAAAGGGCAACTGTACGAGAAGGAAGAGAACGATGTTATTTTAATACACGAAAGCTGCAATAGAAAATTGGGAATTAGCAAGAATACCGAAGTACCAAATAATAAATTACATAGTACTAAATCGTTCCATAAAATATTCTCACGACTTGTTACATTTAATGAAAAAATGCATTCATCTATCGGAAAGAAAAACTTTCAATTTCTGGAACAATTGCTTTCCATCTATATCAAGTAAGGCTTTTTATAATAATTAAGATATTAACACATTATCGACAAACGTGGGAAATCTTTTCATTTTGCTATACATATTTCTGCACAAGCAATGACAAAGATTTTCCATTTTATTTAGCGCCAAACACATTGCATTTTATATTGTTTAACATATTTGCTACCAGTGTCACATTCCTGTTATATGTAATTTCCATTAAGAACTTAAGTTTTTGATGTTAATCTATGTTACAAATAATTTCTAGACTATGGTTGAAATCTCTTCTCCGTAACATGGTAGCAGAATTTTGTTTACGGTAAACTGTAAATAATCAGGCAGATATTGTGTAACATATATACTGCGTCGATTAAAAATATATATAATAAAGATAGTTTTTTCTTTTTTTAGCAATATTTTAAAATCCATGGAAACGAATTACATTATGACATATGAAGTTATTAAATTGAAAAAGCATATGAGTAATACGTTAACATTTTTTCATTTTTATTGGCATGAAATTAAGGAGGTATAATATTTATTGTTAAATGTATTTTTAAAAAAATATATATTTAAGAATAATTATAACACGCACATAAACAATTTATTTTTTATTTAGCATATAAAGGATCATAACTGTTATTTAAACAAATTATCAGTATTATTGGCCATATATGTTGATACAGAATTGAAAACTTCTAAATGTAGTAAAGATCCTTCTAAGATAGCTGCTAAACTTTTCAATGTGTTATGTATATATTTAAGTAAGTTAAAAATGAAAAAAAAACAGAAAGAAATTAAATATTTAATTATATCATATTTTTTTAATAATATGTAATCATATTAATTTCAGATCAATCAAGAGAGCATATATTTAAGGTATTACTAAGAATTAAATTAATTACTAAAAGATATGCACAGATTTGTGATTATATATTCTCGTACGTATATTTAATTTTATTTATTAAAAATAAAATACATTTTTGTTTTTTTTTCTACAAGAAAATTATAGTCGATATCATTTGATTATTTGTAATTCTATTTTACAGTAAAAGTTTTAATAATTTAAAAAAAAATAGAGAATCTATGACAGGGGTCAAATATATCAGATATTTATTTACCTTGAAGCTTTGGAGACAAATAAAAAAAGATTCGGAGGAAGCGAAAAAAATAGATGAATTAGCCGCAGCTTTATTAGGATCACATATGCCAAAGATGCATGTAGACTTATTGAAACTTGTACCTAAATTCCCTCCTAACTGTACAAGTGAAACCTTATGGTTGATGCAACCGAACTTATTTGATCTAAAACAAGCATGCAATGATTTCCTGATACTCACGGAAAACATGGAAACGTCTGAATGTGTTCTATTGCCTTCCACAATAAATACTACAAAAGTGCACAATTATACAAATTCAGAGGTAAATTTTCTCAAAATTCTTACACTTATATATATATATATCATTAGAATTTGTGTTGTATTAAATATTTTATTTAAATGTTTAGATAAATATGAATACTAACAAGGATAAAGAAACGCACTCCTTGAGTTGTAATAAATCTGATATAAATCCGAAAACAGATTTAGATGACAATAAATTGAAAGATAATTCCAAAAAAGATAATAATTCGATGCCAAATATAAAGCCAGGAGAGATGATAGTTATTAATTTTTGTAAAGACAACGAACAATCGCAAAATTCTCTTAAATCATTGATCGATCGTGATAGTTTTTGTAATTCGTTAAATTTAAACGAACGAATAATAAATTCTTGCATGATTAAAAAATGTGTAGACGAAAACAGTTTAAACGCCGAATTGTGTAGTGAAAAACCATCTGTGAATATTTTAGATTCGTATATACAAAGAAACAAAAATGAACAGTTCGTTAATCAAAATAAATCAATCGATAGATGTATAGATACAGTTGCATTTGGTTTAAATGCAAACGCGAAAGAAGATTATGATTATTTTTCATTGGATGATAATGGTTCTACATCAATATATAAAAATATTTCATCTTCGTATTCGTCATCATTAGTTATAAACTCTGATTGCGAATTCAATGATATGAAAATGGAACAAGTTTTTGATTTCCAAGAAGCAGATACATTAAAAGAAAGTAGTTTAACAATGTATACAACAAATCATACTTTATTAGACAAAGTCTGTATTTCCAAAGATGTACCTTTAAGTGATTTGCCGGTACAAATGGAAGACTTAGTGCCATCATATAATTGCATGTCAACGTCTTCATTGCAATTAGACTTGGAATTACTACCACCAGGAAAGTTAATAGAAATACCTAATTTATCATTATCTTTCAATCAATACGATTTAGTATCAAATAATCCGATTGCTTTAGATTCACAATCTATATTTACCGAGAATGATAATTTGAATATACATCAATTTTTAAATAGATTACAATCGGTTGACCCTCTTGAAAGAATACAACAAAATATAAAAATATCTTCCGATTATGATCAATTATATGCAGATCAGGATATAATAGAAGATATTAATAATTTTTCGAAACAAGAATCAATGGATTTAAATAAAATTTTACCACTGAAAAAACGTATATCAAATAGGTATTCTGTAATTAAAAAAGAAGATATATCAAGTGATTCCAATCTCTTGTATAAAGTAGAATCGGAAGGAAATATCACAAAGTCTGATCCTCAAGTTGCCAAAATACTTCTTGCCCAAGATGAATCCTCGAAAGAAACTTCAACGAAGATCTCTATAAGACCAAATATCAGAAAACTCGATATAACATCATATAACGAAGAAACATCAGTTAAGAGAAGAAAAGTTACGTCTCAACTTCTACCTCTAGATGCAAGTAGAGTTTTGTATTCAACAAATACACACAGTCAGAGTAAAGATTTACTTTCCGAAAAGAAAGGTAATTTGATATTACAAATAATTAAAGTTTTGAAACTAATATCATTTTTATATTGTGTTAAATACTTTACAATAATATATACATAACTATTGATATTTCGATGACCTTTACTCAATACTTTTTAACGCAGAATAAAAAAAGGAATCGAATAGTGTAAACAAAAATATAAAGTTCCATTTAAAAAAAAAGTGCAACTGCAGTGCATTTTCAAAAAAAAATAAGGTCATAGAAAGTTAACATTTGTTGTGTCATATAATTTTTTCCTTTATGATTTTTTTCTATTGTTACTTAAAAAAAAGTTATTATCTGTCTCCGTTACAAGAATCACCCTGTATATACATTTCGTTATTTATGTTGTTGCTAATTCAAATTAATATGCTTTGTTATAAATCTTTTTATTGAAAAATGATACTATTAATTTTAAATAAATATAATTTTATGTAAATTGATATTAATAGCCTTAAAAAAAGAAGATTAATATTTACTATTATATAGAAATGTAATAATATGTACATGAGTATTTATATATAAAGTATAATTATGTGATATCAACGCCAGAAGATGTCTACAGTGAAGATCTATTATTACAAAATACTAATTAAAGTAAGACAAGGAATTTATGTATGAAAAAAAAAAACTTTTAAATTTAAATCCATGGACATTATATATATTTTTTCTTTTATTAAATTGCTATTAATTTTCAAAATTATAATATATAAGATACAGTATATAATAAAGTTAATGAGATATTGGAATTAAAATTATATCGTTTGGTAAAGATTTAGCAAAAGTTTATCTTGAATTTTTAAGAATTACTTTGTTTAAAAACAAAATTTTTATTATATATTTTTTACATCCTAGAAGAACAAATAATATCGACGTATCGTTTTTAAAATTTTCAAAATAATGTTAATATTTTAGTAAAGTAAGTAAATATATTTATATTTATTCATTTTTATTCATTTTTCAGTATGATGAAATCAGTAGTCAAAGTATGTGTACCGTACCATCGAAGTACAGTTAAAATATATCTTGCAACATATTATGTAGAAACTTTTATTACCGCCAAAGAAGCAAGATATTTGCATTGAAGATCTAACGGATGGATGAAATCTACACAAATCCTGTTAATAAGGTATATATAACAAATTTAACAAATTAATAAATATCTTTATGGATATGTCAATAATATTTAGTTGAATGAATGTTAAACTGAAAATTAGTAATTAAGTTTGTAAGTAAACCATCTACTATAGCATAGGTATAGTAACAATAGTTATTCTCTTTCAATTTTTTGATTATTTGATCGCGAAATTATTGAATCCTAATATATATATAAACATATTTTGTATGTTATCTTAATATTAAAAAGATAAAGTATTGTATAAATAGTTCATATGATTGTATAATGAAGAATATTTAACAAATATTTGTTCTTCTAATCTTTATTTTCTTACTTTTAGTTACAAACCTATAATGAAATATGTACAAAAAAATCAAATTTTTATTACCTTACTATAAGTTAATTATTTGGACAACTCTGATTCTAAAATAATATTATTGAGAAGCATAAAAATATTTTAATAATATAACAAAAACTTGCATTCGATTTTAACTAAATAATAATGAACAAACGTACATTAATTTTATTTTTAAATCTACAGCATATTAGTCTTATTATTAGCATATATTTGCTTAGAATATTTAATGAAGTATAATAATGCGAGTAAAAGTATATGAGAGTAAGGGCATGATGATCTCTTTAGCACTAGTCAAAAGTGCTATTTCATTCGAAGAACAGTTAGAATTATTATTCCTTAAATATTCATACATAGATAATATACAGTGAATAATCAGTTAATGAATAGTTTAGGCTATGGACAAGTTGAATAATAAATGTTTTCACGAAAGATTTTTATGTTCGGATAATAAACACTTTATAGGATTAATATAAGAAGAATCGACATTGTATGTAAGATTTATAGGACCATATTTCATCATCTTTGAATGGCTTATATTCATTAACCGATTATCGATTGTAATATTGTATAAAAAATAAAATTTCAAATTATAATTAATGATTTTTTTTAGAAAGAAATTAATTATAATAATACTTTGTCTTATAATTAGTTTAGCTAGAAGAAACTGTAACTGCTCTCTTTGCTCTTGTTATTCTTATTATATAGTAATGTTAAGTCTTAGCAGGTTGCAATAAAAGAAACAGGGTATATTTTTATTTAAATTCACTCAGTGTTATTTAAGTATTACATGTATAACACATTCCATGTATTTTAAAATTCTTAGGAATATTAGGATGAGGATAGCAAAGATATTGTTTTTTGAGTATTGGAATAATCTGTAATTTATTACTGAAACAATGCGATGTTTTTTTTATTATTTAAATATATTTTACAAATCATTGACAGTTACTTACAAATCAGTGTTACGCTTACTTTGACAAGTATAAAATGCTTAGTTTCATTTATAGTTAAACTAGTAAAAGACTGATTTTTAAAAAGTGTCATATTTAAGCAGATGTGCTTAAAATCTAATTTCTCCATTTTATTATCTTTGTTTTCAATTATGATAAAATATACATTAATTTTTTGAATTTCATAATAATAAGTTCCTTAATTTTTTTAGATTTCATATATAACAGACTGATTTATACTTCATATTTATTTGATTATTATTTATAATTTTGTGTCAAAAGATATACAGAGATCTTCGAAGAATGTCCAATTTTGATATTTTTTTTTATACAATTTCACTTATATTTTAATATAATCTTTATTGTTTTGTTTGTTAAAGAATGTTTTTACATCTATGTATACATAACAAATTGAAATGCATTAATAAAGTATTTTTTAAAATATCTTTTTTATAAAATACAATTTAAGAATTAAGAATTATATGCTCAATCATAGTTTAAAAAAAGAAGCAAAATTACATTCAAATAAAAACACATTTTTAATTATATTTAGCTATTATAAAATAAATAAAATAAATAGATAAATGTGTACGTATAATTGTAGATAAAAATAATGCAAGTACATTTATTTAAAATAATTTATATAATTATGTCAAATAATATTAGAATTATTTAAAAAAAAAACTTACGAAAGAAGCATATTTAGTTGCTTGCAATCTTATTTTTCAATTACTATAAATTTCTAATACATAGGTATTGATTATGAAACTGTTTATTATTAACATATTTCATTTTTTTAAGCGTAACAAATGTTGCATTATATGCGTTTTTTTTTCACGATATAAGACAGAGATTGAATCGAAAGAAAATAAAGGAAAAGTTGTATGAAATGAAATTATTGTACATTATATATACATCCTAATTTGATTAAACAAAAGAATTTTCATTTCCTCTATAATAATAAAAAGTCTTTATATATTTACAGACAAATTTGATTTGATAGTTAATTCTACTTATTTATCTGTTTTCATCTATTTACTGTTATCAATCACAATTTAACAGAGAGTTCACCTTTTAAAAAACTTTATTTAAACAGTATCATAATATCATAATAAAAATAATAATAATAATAATAATAATAATAATAATAATAATAATAATAATAATAATAATAATAATAAATAGCCATATTAATCTAAATTAAAACGCACTATAAAAACACTCAGTCCACAAAGATTATTTTACAATAAATAAAGATCGTGCTTTCCTTTTTTCATTATTATAAAAATCATTCATATACATATTATACAAATTGAATATTACTATTTAAGACTGAGTTTTATACTTGTTAAAACGATGATAATGTAAATGTAATGTCTTTTTTTTAACAATTGCCAAATAAAGTTAACGTAATATAAATTTCTAATAAAGTAATAAACTACTTTTAAATATACAAGAGAAAATGATCCTGTTTTATTCGGTAATTTGTATATCAATAAACATTTTTATAAATTTTTACCATTTAAGAAATAAATTAATAAATTAGTATATATTAGTAAATTATATACACAGGTATGAAATGGTTTAAACTCATATTAAATATAATTAATACTATCAGACTTATTTCTTCGTAATATTATAAATAATACAAATATGAACATATACGTGGAAGTTGTTAAAATTATATCTTTTGTTAACGGAAATTGGAAACACTAAATATTCAGACTTTTCTCACAAATCAACAAAAAGAATGTATTTTAAAAAGAAAAAAAATAAATAAATAACTAAAAAAACAATTTAAAAAAAGAAGATTATGATATGTGAATACAATATGCCATTTTTGTATAACAAGTGAGTTATTTAGCAATGTAAGTAGAAGTTATTGCTAACTTATGTGTGAAATGTTCTAGCATGTTGTTCGTATAATTAAAAATCACAGATTTGAGATCAGATATTGGGAAGATATGGCACTATAGTATTGTATTCAAGAAATTTATGTAAATTTAGTTAACCGATAATGATAACTTAAATTCATAAATAATATTTAACAGTTGATAATTATATTGAAATTAAATAAATGAAGGAAAAAAGGTGAATATTGGTATATATTTGTCATTTCTAATCGCGAACTATTTATTCCGTTATATTTGAAAGTTATAACTGCATTAAGATAATCATTTTTCATATTAACATAGATCACCTTTCAAATTGGAATGATAAGTTAAGTTAAAATATGTGTCAATATATTTCATAATATTATTTATGAATTGTGGAACTATGAATTAATTTTTATTTTTACTTTTCAATTTATTAACTATTGCAAGTTTCATTTCTACGAATTTCTTTGATTATTTTATTTAAATGATAACGATTAAACAAATATTTATGTACACTTGTTAGCACATTGATTGCCAAACGAATGTTATACGCTTTAATAAACTTTTAAACCAATGAAGATTAATAAACTGATCGATAATATTTGAAATAATAATTTACACGTACATTTACTATAAATAATAAAATACAAATTCTGTTCATCTGATTTGTAAATATGTTAAAATTTATTAATTTTAGTTTATAATAATCATAATAATTTAAGAAGAAATAGGCAATCAATGTATTAAATGGTCGACAGAAGTTACATGTTTTTTTTCTGCATATACTAATAAAGTAAAAATAAAAATGAAAAGAAGAAAAAAAAGAAATTAGATACGATAATGCAATATATTGTCGATTGAAAAGTACCTTCTATTATTTAAAATTAAAGCTGATATTCGTTAAATATAAAATAAATTAATTGACTAGTTATACTATACTTCGATACCTGTGCATGATAATTCATAATTGCTTTATTCCAACATTTCTTTATGTGGAATCTCCTATATATATATAAAACAAATGGACAGATTAAAATTTTGGAGGACACAAAATATTTCCATCTTTTTTGTCATGTCATTTTTTTGGTTCATTTGGCAATTTTCTTGACATCACACAGTTATAAAAGTTGATATTCTTGAAGTTTCTATCAAATAATAGATCTGAAAAGAAAAAAAATTTTTTATAAAGGTACAAATCTTTAAATGAGTCACATTAACACTTTCGCTATCGGTATCTGGGATCTGTAACACTTGAATACACTTTCTAGTGGCTAAATTCAAAATTAGAGTAGATAGGTCGAATTTGCTACACCAAGCCCCTGCCGAAGATCCCAATAGCTTAGAACTTATTTTTCGTATTATTACCTTTGTAAACTTTGTCTCGTGACTTCGATGCATTCTCGACAGAGTTTTGGTACTGTATGACTTGAGTATAACACTGCTGATCATATAACAATCATTAACTTAATTTTAATATATACCCCAATCTACTTTCTTCTTTTGCTATAATCTAAAAAAAAGATATATTCATTAATTAATTAAATTAATAAAATTCGTTAGATAGAAAACCATATTGTTACAACAATGTGGTAATAAAGTATATTTTTAAAAGTAAAATTTAAAACAAAAAGAAATTATATATGTATAATTTTCTATCTTTTTTGATTTATACATAATTATATTCGAAAACACTGTCTTACCTCGTAATTAAAATAATACGATGCGTATGTAAAGTAGAACAATTTGGCATTTTTGTATGTACATAATTACATTTTTAGATATATATATATATATATTTGAAACTTTTTAATAAGTTAATATAAAACAGTGACAAAAAACAATATAAATTTAAAGGAATATATATATATATATATATATTGATTGGAATGATATTTAAAAAAAACTTAAAATAAATTATTATAATACAACATTGTATTACTCGAACACAATTTTGACTTCAATTAATTAATTAATTAATTAATTAATATTAATTAATTGTAAACATAAATTTAGAAGTAACAGTCTTAAAATTTTCTACACACACGTACACACATTGCTATAATAAGTAATTAAATATTGTGATAACTAAAAAAAAAAAGACTTTTGCTTCCTAAAAATTTTTCCACGATAATACTTCTTCAGTAGAATTTTCATGAACTTCAGTGATGTTCTTCATAGTCTATCTTCCATTTATATGCTGTTATCATTTATAATATCTTCCAACGATGAGAATTCATATTTACACACATTCACAATTTATGACACTTAAGTCATATCTTCATCTCGTTACTTATTATTTTTGCAGCATGTACAATAATGACTTTTGTAATCAAACAGTAGTGATCATTGACAGTTTTTCCTGCGTGTACGTTTCAGTAAATTCGATAAGTCCAGTAGACCTTTTACCGTTAAGTTCAGCGCAAGCACGTCCGCCATGTTGAAAAGGTGGCAATATGAAAGTTTCGGGCACTTTTTATAAGCATGGCTGGACAACAAATATCGTTGCCCTTATTACCAGTGCAATTAAACGAAAAATTAATTAATGATGCATCTTTAGTGCATTCCACAGTAGAAGCCCACAATTGTGTTCAATTACGACGATGGTTGAAGTGCTATGGTCGTCAAGTTGGAAATAGAGCTCAACTAATTGAGAGATTAGGATAATAATTATATTAATACGAAGTTGATCTATATTATTAATTAAAGAATTATAAATGTAATTATAAATAATACAGTTTACGGTGTATATTAATTTTTAAATATTATGTATTTTTTAATATTATTTTTGATAGACTCTTCAAATTTATCCTTTTCTGAACTTTGACGTAGATTAACTTGAGTCCTTTTACTAGTAAATTTTTTAATATCAGTTTGAACGCCTTGGTTGCATGTGATATTTGACAATGTAGGAATTTCTGCTGATGTTAAAATCTAACAAAGTTTTCACCAACATCAGTAGATCTTGAAAATTCAAAATTTTTATTTGGCAAGTTTAATTCTGGTGTAGGAGTGAAATTTTGATTCAATGAAAATGCTGTTGTTTGATCATTTTGTCTTTCATCAATAAGCACATTATGGAAAGTTGTACAATCTATGCTTTTTGCAAGATGGTTTGAATTTTCAATGCCTTAATTCCTTTCCTAAAACATTATAATATTTTAATTTTAAGTTTGGAGCAAACATGATTTTTTTTTTTGACAATTCTATAATTTATCTTAAAAGAAATTATTTTAAATAATTCACTTACGTCATTAATTTGTTTATATTTCTCGGCCAAAGAAGTCCTTATCACTCTTACCTGCGAAAAAAATTGATTACTTGAGGTTATAGAATGAGCTGTCACATTAACAATTAAATAGATTTAAATTACCTTGTTACTTAGTTTTTTATTTACACAACTGACGGGATCAGGATATTCTGTTGTTGGACCGCTTTCTCCTTCAAAATGAAGTGAACAAATGTATGTGTCTTTATTTACATGATCAAGGACTTCGAATCGACCATCACCTCGTCCACATATTTTAATCCACAAATCATATTTAGCACATTCTGGACAAATTTTTATATGTTTCTGTTTTGTTGATTTGATAAGTTTTCGACGATATTCGAAACAAGGCTTCGGAAAATAAATAAAATAATATAAATTCTCCAAGAACGATTTACTACGAGTATCACTGCGACATAATCCATAATAACGTTTTTTCGTTTCTTTTCTTGCTGTTAACATCATGTACATTGATTTCTTGCTTCACAGCATTATTTAAATATTTAATAATTGAATATTTATTGATTATTAATAATTAATTATTAATTAAAATTTTTTTTTATTTACTTAAATTGAAAACATTGTATACACTGCTTATACGCGTATGAAGTGCCCGAAAAACATGGCGAAATTTGAGGCATGCGCACAAAAAATGTTTAACTATTAAAAGGGCTATTCTGGATCATTATCGGTGTAAGAATATTCTACCTTAGGTACTTTTCTTTTTGAACTTCTTGAATCATTATCGGTGTAAGAATAATTTACCTTAGGTACATTTCTTTTTGAACTTCTTGAATCATTATCGGTGTAAGAATAATTTACCTTAGGTACATTTCTTCTTGAACTTCTTCTTCTCATTTTAATTGGTGATTGCATTTCTTTTGCTTTTTTACGACGTACATCTGTCGCCATAGTTTCTGATGTAAATCGTTTCATCGCTGTTATCTCGGATGCAGCAATTTCTTTACGCTGTGCAGGTGTTTTAAATGTTCTTTGATGGCAAGACTCTTGACATACTGTTATGTTAGATTCGTGTGTTGTGGTATCGTGAATGTCCTTACAGTAATCTCGTCTTACTAAATTAGTAGTAAAATGATAATTACCATGTATATCATCTTTTCTGTTAGGAGATAATGGTAATACTGGTTTTACAATTTGATTCTGATGTTTCTGTATGGTATCAAGTGGTTCTAAGGCTGCTATAGACATCATAGGTATACCAGGATAATTATCTAATTTTTCTGTTTTTATTTGTTTTTCTTTGTAATGCATTGACATCATGGTCTTTAATCTTTTCTTAAGAGGTAATTTTTTATAGAAATTAGTATTACTTAATTTTGACGTGTCGCATTTCATATCAATTGTTTCTAATGTATTATCTTGTAAAAGATCTTTTTCGACTTTACATACAATGTTATCATCATACAATTTTCCTATAACAGTTTCATTTTTCGTCCTGTCATGTTCCTGGACGGTGGATGCTTGTACTGACGAATGCGTAGGCAAAAAACATGTGTTACTTTCAATGCACGATACGTGAGAATCTGTACCACTGTGTATACATTGTCGACAATGCGTAACTATATCATACGTATAATTCAAGCAAGAACAATGGGATCTTCCATAAGTGTTGTTTGAATTTACATGAGAGTGCAAAGATGCAGTGGTATTTATTTGCAAACTACAAGAGGCAGACTTACAGTGTTTGCGATATGGCACACATAAATCTGTAGCAGCTGAACAATTGCTACATATTGACTGTGGTAATGTGGTAGGATGAGATGCAGAAATATGTAATGAATGTTGAGATTCAATTGCTTCGTGCGAATGTGAGTGCATTCCTGCATATCCTTGCACAGTATAATTAGTTGGAATTCGATTGGGAGGAAGCGTAGTAAATTCTTGTTTAATATTTTGTCTACAAGCAGAGACAGAGACAGATTTTGATGAAGATTTATGTTTATTATCGTTGCTTTCGTTAATTGTTGTTACGTTTGCAACATCGATATCTTGTAAAGTTGCTTGAAGATTAGATATTCTATTTGTTCTAAGCGAAGTTTTCTTCATGTATAATTCTTCTTTTTCCAGGTTTAACGTAGCGTTGTCTTCATTAGGTTCTATTTTAATATTTTTTTTTTCATCAACAGAATGTTTTTCCTGTATGAAATTATGATCCAAAGCATTAGAAATTTCATAGGACGAACCATTTTCTGAAAGTGGTGAAACACAAAATTTTTCCGTTATTTTATTCATATCATTGTCATTATGATTTTTTGCATTTTCAACAGCTTTGTTGATAATGTACAAATTACTATTAGGTGATTTTTGCAGCAATACAACCGTTTCTCCATTGTGTATAACATTAGTATTTTCTTTAGTTGATTGTGCATTGTTCTCAAGCGGAACCATAACATTTGATATTGTATCCGATGTTTCATAATTCATAGAACCTTGGAAAATACGAGGAACGTTATTAATAGAAGATGTATTTTCAGTGTTTGTCACATTTCCATTGCTAGCAGAAATCAAATTAACACAAAGTTCAACTTTTTTCGAATAAACACCATCCTCTGGATAAACTCCAATGATCCGTTTAATTAATTCAGATGTAGGATTTTCATAAAGTTGTGATATAGTATTAGATGAATCATTGGTATCTGTTTCGTCGTTAATTACTTGATTGGATAATGTATTTTTTAAAACTGTATAATCTTTAACTTTTATTTGATCACATTGTATCTCGGATTTATCTTTTAAGTGTGGCACATGTTGCGATACACTAGCTAATAAGGAGAGACCGTCAATATTTTCTTCAGTATTTAACTCAGTACAATGCAGAATATATTCCTTATCAGATATTTTAGAATCGTTGTTTATTTCTTCAATTTCATAAATGCCCTTATTTTTACTCTTGATTAGATTACTGTCATGAGAATGTTTTAATAGTTGTACATCTTTCTGAAAAATAGTCGGTGATACTGTATAACTAGGCGACTTACTCCTATCTAGATTTTCTATAACTTTTTGGGCAGAATCTTTATCATTGTATATTTGTTTGTCATATTCTACAGATTGATTTACATATTGATTATTTACAATGTCTTCTTTGCACGTACGTTTAATTTCATTATCATTAATTACTGTATACTTAGCAATATTAATTACATTTTCTTTCATATCATAGATGTTTTTCGCAGGATCAATCATCTTATCAACATCTATATAGTCATCAACTTCGATACAATTATCAATTTCAACTTCAGCTTGTAAATCTGAATCGTCACCGTTCATCACGCTGAAACTTACTGTACTATTTAAATATCCTGGACAAAAAACTTCAGAATGATTTTGTGATTCGCAAAATATTTGCTGTTGATCTAAGATTTCATTATTTATTAGAATATCTTTTTTATCGTATGCATTATTAATAGGTAGTTTTAAAATTGTACATCTCTCAGATTCTATATTTTTATTCGTATTACTATTTTCTAATTCAATAGCGCTTGTATTTCGGCTTTCGCTATTTTTTTCAAAATAAGAGTTCGTAGACAGATCTTGTTCTTCTTTTACACAAGCAGATTTTACATTTTCATTAACCAACGTATTATGATCACCGTGCTCATCTTGATTATTTTTAAAATAGACAACTACGTTCTCAGATGCGCTATTTTTTTCTACAGTCTTACTAAGATTTAGGCTATCTATCTCGTCTTTGGAGTTACATTGAGAATCTATTGAGATACTTTCTATAATTGAAGGTTGTGGTTTTAAATCACAGATTTTCTTTTTACCATCGCTTTTTTCACATATTTCATTCTCTATAGAAATTTCTTTTTCTATCAGTCGTTTAATCACAGCCGGTTTAAGTCTATTGTTTACAATGTTATCTTTCTTTAATACCAAAACATCATTATCATTATATTTCCGAGTATTTGTAGGATCATCTACAATTTCAACAGGTGCATCCAATGAAAGTTCATTGTTATCAGAAGATGATTTTGTTGTTGTTGTTGTATCAACATTGACATTATTTATATTTGTTGTATAAATCATCGACGATGATAATTTATCACTAGTTAATGACTTTGGAAGTGATGAAACAATAAGATTAGGATTATCCGAATCCGTGTTACCACTGTTTTTAACATCACACATGAAAGTATCTACTGCATCATCTTTGGAAGTTATTTTAGAAGTCTTTAATGTTGTATTTTGCAATTGGTAATCACTTTCCGTTTCACACTTCGATGAATTAGTATTATCCAATTTCTTCTGTATTCTACTTTTAATCTTCATAGATGTTTTCATTGATTTCAAACCTATTTGTTTTTTTGCTTCTTCCAACCACGCAGGTTTCTTCGATCTTCTCTTGTTTATCAGGCATTTTTCAAGCTCTACATCACCCGTTAAATCAATAAGTATAACTTTTCGAGATTTTTTTGACTTTTTTTGAGAAAAAGATTTAATTTTCGTAAATAATTTGGGAACATTAATATTAGTAGAAACATTATCTGAAATATTATCTGAAATTTTACAAAAATTTTTCAAACGAGTCTCGTTTGCCGTAGTTACAGATTTATCAGAATGATGCGAAGAAATAAAGTTATTACACGTACTGTTATCAGATAAATTAGAATTGACGTTATTATCAAAATTATCTACGTTTTTAGAAGTCAGATTAACGTCCTGACAAGGAAAAAGCCATCATTATTATTACGCAATATGATTTATTTAGAAAAAAAATAAATTAAAAAAAAAAAACAAAAAAGAAAAGGCTTTTTAAACGCAATAAATTATGTTATGTGTCATAAGTATGTTTTCACATAAACATATAATTATTGTATATGCAATGTAGTATTGTTTTATATATATTGTAATACAAGAGGTGTCCCAAATTTTATCCGTAATATTTAACTAACATATTCTATCAATAGAATTAAGAAAAATATGTTATATAAACAGAGTCTCTTCAATTTTCAATTAGAAAATTATATAATAGTACAATTTTACGGAAAAACTGGGACGTATGTAACGATAAATAAAAAATAATTACTAATCCTATATTGTTAATATCTAATTATAAAATTAAATTTGTATAACACTTAAATAATATATTATAAATTTTGATTACCTTTTCTATATCACATATACTGGATGAACTCGTAGTGTCTCTTACATCCTCTCTGTATTCTGTATATACACTTTTATTACTTTCTTTAGAAAATTGTACAAAGACTTCGCAAGTCCTTCTTGTGTCAAATTTATCGTGTAAAAGTAATTTAGCGGGGTTTGGTTGAGACTTTGGCACTTTTGGTAATACATCATCCAATAAATGTGGAAATGTAGGTGGGGGCCCAAGAGAAGTAACCGCAATTGAAGTGATTTCATTTTTTATTGGCGTGTTACTATTTATTTTCCTCCATAGGCGATACACAAGTAAGTAACGCACGTACATGATGTTTGATTCTGGATGAAAGGGAATATTTTTGATAATCTTCCTGCAAACATATACAACTTCAATTAGAATATAAACAATTAATTTATATAAGAAAAAATATCCGTTAAGAGTTCTTACTTTATTACTGGATTTAAAATGCCATGGTAACAACGATACATAAATTGCACCTTCAACAGAGTATCCAGCAAATGTTCTGTGGAATGTTCTACAACAAAGGTATCCAATCAATAATTTACAATGTGATAATTTTATGAATTAAAGATAATTAATTTTAAATACACATACCCAGATAAACGTATAGACATGAAATAAGCCTAGCACAAATTTTACCCTGGTCTTCCTTAGTCCTTTTTGATGCTTTTAATTCTATGTTTATATATATCGCCAGTAAGTCTGACATATAATTAAGATAAATACATCTATCGTGATTCTGTAAGATAAATAAATTGATTTAAAAATTAATTTGATAATTTTTAATCACTATTTTTAAATGATCTTACCTCTGAAAGCATACGGTAGATATTTAAGAATACAGTTAAGGTATCACTAATTGATTCTTTCAAGCATGCTGCCCTTGAAGGTCTTGAGTAACACTCTCTTGCACTGACGCTTATATTTCTGTAATGAAAAAATAAAATTTACTTTATTATTCAATCTTTCATAGATCAGATAAAAAATGTTTACAAATTATAATCAATATTCTCATGCAAAATTATGCGCATTTCATTTGTGAATATATGGGTTTGAATAATTATAATTATCATTTCAAAATATAGAATCTTAATTGAGTAGTATACAAAACCTACTTTTAACTATATAAACATTTACTTTAATAAAGTAAATAACCAATTGTTACAATTGTTTACAAATTACAATAAATATTCTCGTGTAATTATGCAAATTTCATATGAATATGTATGGATTTGCATAATTATAATTATCATTCAAAAATATGGAATCATAATTGAATATTATGCAAAATTTACTTTTACTATACGCACACATGCACATGCGCACGCAACGTACACGCACGTATTGTATAATCACATAATGAATTAGTATTATTTTTAAAAAACCAGTTCTCGGATAATTGATACTGGTAATCGGTAACAAAATTATAAAATGTAGTACATATATTTAAACAACAACAACAACAAATAATAATAATAATAATAATAATAATAATAATAATAATAATAATAATTTTTATGTACATTACCTTGTATAATATTGCATAAGTTCGGTTAGCTTATGCATACTGAAGTCTCGATATATTACTTTGAATTTTTGCTGAAACTCGCAAACCCATGGAAATAAATCTGCTGTTAAAGATTTTATATCTTTTTCCATATTGCTTTCTGCTCTATCGTTAATGGTAGAATTTGTTTGAGCTGCGATATTTGTAACAACGTAAAACATTAAAGAACAAAATAAAAAATATATATATATATATATATATATACATAATATATTGGGTCTACAAGTAAGCTTCCAGCGTTTTTCATAAAATTTGAGGGTTTATTCTGAAAAAATGGTTACATATTTTTCATTCGAAATATTGTCCATCGGAAGATACAATTTTTTCCCATCTTTCTGACAATTTGTGAATTCCGGACCAAAAAAAGTATGAATGTATTGAGCCAATTTTTGATTCCCTCTACTGAAGTAAAGCGCATTCCGGTAAGAGCGTTCTGCATCGACCGAAACAAGTGGTAGTCGGATGGCGCCAAATCTGGACTATAAGGCGAGTGAGGCAGAATTTCCCATCCACTATTATCCAAGTAGTTTTTGACCGAAGCAGCAACATGTGCAGCAAGCTCTTTTTGAATTTGACACGGATCCTCATCCAGCAAAGCCTCCAATTCCTTGTATTAAACATTTTTCGGCTTTCCGGAGTGCTCCTTGTCTTCAACGTCAAAATCACTATTTTTGTACCGTTTGAACCACTCACGACACGTCGATTCACCAATACATTCCGCCCCGTAAGTTTCCAGAAGCAAACGATAGGTCTCAGCTGCACTTTTCTTCATATTAAAGAATAAAAGCAGCGCTTCCCGCAAATGACGCTTATTTGGCACATAACTTGCCATGTTTTTGCTTCATAAAATATACGACGCCGATAGAAATGTGCAAATATGATGATGCAATGTGTTAACAGATACACAAGCTTCGAAAATGACACATGAGATGTGACATTTCTGCCCAAAATTTACTCGTGACACCATCTATTAAAAAACGCTGGAAACTTACTTGTAGACCCAATAAATTACTGATAAATCGATATTATTTTTTATCGATTATAATGTATAAGAAATAATATTTGATTGAGAACGTTTACGATCTTAAGGAAAATAAAATATTTCAATAGGTAAAAATTTATACGTTTGTCATTGATAAAAATGAAAAAAACAAAAAAGAAAAATAAACGACATAATACTTATTACAAAATAATAAGAAAAAAAAAAAATAAAATAAAAAATAGATAGAAATAGTTTAAACATTGATATAGCAAAATAAATCGCTAATAATAAATGCATATTAAAACAAGTGATCATTATTTAAATCAACATAATTTTCTGTGACAAAAGTTTATCCAAAATCGACGCATGCTTCTTCTAGAATTCAACGAAGAAAATCTATTCTCGTGTCGATTGGTAATGATAAAAATCAAAAATTAAACCCGGATTGAAATGTAGATTAAAAAAGAAAAAAAGAAAAAAAAGTATTTCAAAAAAAGAACAAAATAGAAAAATTATAATTTGTATCGATCTCATTTCAATGATGATGATAGTTTAATTATTACGTTATCGAAATTATGCGTAAACAATATATTTTTGGACGATAAAAAAAAATATACAAATAAAATATGTGGTGTTAGAAAAAATCCGGAAGGGAGAAATGACACGCTTAAATGAAAGAAATGCATATAAGTGAAACAACGGAGTTACCTTTTTGTGAGGTATCCAACGCAGTATTTTTGGTCGTGCTTAGGGTGGTCTCCATCATATCGGCCTTGTTGTTATGAAATAGCTCCTTTTAAAATAAAAGAGTTATATTATATTACGAAAATTCGTATTTAACAATGGCACACCTCATGTTAAAGGAGAAATATTGTTTGATAGATAGATGAAGAGAAAGAGAGAAGTAATTGGGGAGTTAATGCGTCGGCATCTTCTCACGAACTGCACTCTCAGCAACGACCATATTGATACTGCTGTTTGCTGTTACGTCCGTAAGAGGCGCGTCCGTCACATACATGCTTTCTCTCATTTACTCTTATTCCTTTTATCTAACTATATATGATATATGTATTATCTTATACGTATTTGTCTATACATATATATACATAAATCCATATAATATATACAATTACGTTTACTTGTATATAACTATAGTATCGTTCCTATCACGTGTTCTCTCTTTATAGAAGTGTGTGCGTGCGTGTAAGCGCACATGGTGTGTGTGTGTGTGTGAATTATATACATTCGAAGCGACGCCTCTTGTAGTAGGTTTTATTAATTTTTACCTTGTTTTTTGTTATCATTTATTTGCGTTCGTTTATTTATTTATTTCCCGTTAACCGGTTTATTCTGACATAATAATACAAATAAAAGTGCAATGTTAAAATATTTTAACAAACGAACACGGATTCTTACGCGATGTAAATCACGTTACGAACACAAGGTACTATGAGAGGAGAAAAAAAAAGAACTTATGGAGACAAAATTCTCTCTGTTGTGTAACGATATGACTCAGCGCTTTCAGAAACGTTCATCGACGGTGGTAAGTAAATCAGCCAATAGACACACAGCTGGGCGTTATGACCAACCAATCGCGATGACGTTACATAGTCGGTCATCTTACAGGGGATCCAATCGGATGCGAGCAATTAAGAAAATTTAACACGCTACGTACATTTACACATGTACAATCTCCATTTATACTTTTTTCGTAATTTTTTTCTCTTCCATTTTTCGTTTACCTGTTCTTTTATAAAGGTACGACCAAATACATTTTAATGCTAACTAACAATTATTAAGTATATAATTAAAAAGAAAGGAATGCAAAGGACCGAGTACACGGTTGCGCGCTTGTTTCTTCTTCGTTTCTACATACAGTTTGCTTTGTTAAACACTGTTTTTCTTTTTAATAAATATATATCACATAGAAATATAATTATGGTTGAAAGAACTCTTTATGCAGTTTTACTTGCGTTGAACGCTACGAAATATTTACGGATGGGATATTTTTAAGGATAGACATAAAAAGTTACAACTATATTTGAATTATTTTAAAATATGTAGCTTTACTTTTTTCGTACAGAAGAAATTTGTTTTAAATACTTTGTAATATTTGTCTAATTTTTAAACAATATTCTGTTTGATTTTATAACATTTTGTGAAAAAATCATTAACAATAAATGCATTTGATATTAGAGTATAAAATATGAATATTGATTCGAAGTCAATAACAAAAGTTCAAATAATAATAATAATTATTATTATTCGTCAAAAATAGGCAGAAATCTCGAGAGAAAAAATCTTTTTAAACTATATATACTCAAAATGTTATTTCTTACGTTTTTTTCCTATATATGCAGTTTTCAATATAAAAAATGTAAACCCATGTCTTTTTATTTAATTCTTTTTTCCAATTTTCTTACTTTTTATTAATTAGTCAATCTTTTTTGAGTAAAAATAAAATAAAACTTATTGCTATTTTAAAACTGAGTTCATAAAGATTGTAACAGTTTATCAACTTGTGTATTTTGTAAGATAGACCTTTGATTTTTACGGAACGACGATCTTTAATTGTCTTTTCTTCAATAATACCCCAAATCCAGTTCTTTGTCTCAAGGGATTAAGTCGAACGAGGTATCGTTATATGTATAATGTATATATATATATTTGTGTGTGTTATCGACACGAAGCTTCTCTTCTACCTTCAAATATGTAGTCACAAAGGATTAAGTTTGTTTTAGGATATCCTGAAAACTTACGTTTACTTTACTCTTTAGCTTGTTAACCGTATTTTCGAGAAACGAGACGAAAATGCATACAGTTAACGATACATACACGTCTATTAAATCTTTAAAAATTGTAATTTTTATTTATTTTTTTATTTATTATCATCATAAAATGTAGACATGCTTCATGTATTTTTTTACAAGTCAATAAGTATTTGAAACTCTCAAGCATGTATTTGTATTTTTACTTAAAATAATAAAGCGAGTAAATTGATGTTTTATAAATATCCGTGTGTTATTTATTGTTAATATAATGAAAAATAAATATAACGATAGTCGATTAGGTGAATGCTTTCAAAGAAACTAGAAATCAAATAATCCAAAATCTTATTTGTATTACCAATCGTAACTATATAACGTAGCAAGAGTAACTGAGAATAATAATAGCGGAGTTTAGAAATCTGCGATGAAGATATATAATATACCATTATTTCCATCAAGTGTGTGTTCTATTTTTGCATTCAAACGAAAACAGATTTTTCTCGTTCGATGCTCGTTTATATAGGAATGCGTTTTACTCACGTATTCCAACGTGAAAAGTAATAATAACATCTTTAAAAATTATTAACAATTATTAGTATCGCTTAAAAGTGGGGGAGGGGAGGTGAGGGCTACTGATAATAACGTCTATAACGAAAATATGAATAAAAAAAAAAGGTTGTTTCAATTAATAAATGTCGTTTAAAAATATAATAAGAATCGTGTTTTTATATGTTTACATATATTTTACTAATCAAAAGTTCGTGCATTTATTGTTGTGAAACTTAACTTTGAAACTGCATAATAATGGATTGTTTTTTTTCTTGCAAAAATGTATTTTGGAAATATCAATTTAAAAAAAAAAGAATCCCGTACGAACTTACTGATTAACTCCATTGAAGTAATAAAAAAAAAGAGGGTAGAAAAAATAAGCCTACATAAGAGAATTGGGAATATAGACGAGAGTTGTCGTTAAAGCGCGGGATTTAAAAGAAAAGAAATAAGAAGAATAAAAAGAATAAAGAAAAGGAAGAAGAAGAAGAAGAAGAAGAAGAAGAAGAAGAAGAAGAAGAAGAAGAAGAAGAAGAAGAAGAAGAAGAAGAAG